CTGCTCAGGCCCAGCACGGCCACGCTCCTGCTCGAGGCCCAGGCGGCCACCGGCTTCCTGGTGGACCCCGTGCGGAACCAGCGGCTGTACGTGCACGAGGCCGTGAAGGCGGGCGTCGTGGGCCCCGAGCTGCACGAGAAGCTGCTGTCGGCCGAGAAGGCCGTGACGGGCTACAAGGACCCGTACTCGGGCAGCACCATCTCCCTCTTCCAGGCCATGAAGAAGGGCCTGGTCCTCCGGGACCACGGCATCCGCCTGCTGGAGGCCCAGATCGCCACGGGCGGCATCATCGACCCCGTGCACAGCCACCGCGTGCCCGTGGAGGTGGCCTACAAGAACGGCTACTTCGACGAGGAGATGAACCGCGTCCTGGCCGACCCCAGCGACGACACCAAGGGCTTCTTCGACCCCAACACGCACGAGAACCTCACCTACATGCAGCTGCTGCAGAAGGCCACTCTTGACCCTGAAACTGGCCTGTTACTTCTCTCTCTATCTTCAGGGTGAATGGACTTTTTGTGGGGGGGGATGTTAATTCTCAAATATATCTTACTCTACTCTTCAAGATTTTAAAATATTCTTTAATTTGGTTTCAGTTAGTTTTTAAAATGTATACATTTTTTATTTTATGGCGAGAGGAGAGCGATAGGGAGATAGAAACACAGATGAGAGAAACATCGGTCGGCTGCCTCCAGCAAGCCCCGTTCTGGGGACGGAGTGGGCAACCCTGGCATCGAACCCAGGACCTCAGGGTTCCTGGGCCGTTGCTCAGCCACGGAGCCAATGGCTGGGCGGCTCAGGGTTTAAATGTATCTGGTAACATTGTTCCCTTCCCATGGCCTCTCGTGGTCCGAGTTTTCCTTTGCATCCAGAGCAGGCCTGTTCCCTGGCCGTGTTCCTCTGATGACCGGTGGCCCCCCTTGTGCTTTTGTTTTTATTTCTGGGAATATTGGCGGGTGGCCATCTTACAGGCTTTGCTGTGCTCGGAACAAAGGACTTTCTGTTCCCGGGACCTCAGCCTGTCACACTGGGTGTCTGCAGTGCTTTGTGTTTTCTGGTTGTTATTAAAGCCTTTTTCCGTTTGAAGTCAGTGTGCCTTTTGTGTGCTAATCCACCCCATCCGTGCCTCCGTGCCTCCCTTTCGCGGCCTCACTCATGACTCTCACTTTAGGGTCCACCTGCAGCGCCAGGGATCGCCCAGGGAACGCGACTCCTCCCTGCATTCCTGTGGTAGAGCGGGCCTCCCGGCCGGCCCGGGGCCCAGGTCCAGGTGCATATCCCAGGCCGCCCCCCCCAGACCCCAGGGGAGCAAGCCGGCCAGCAGGCTGCCCCAGACCCCTCCACTCTGGGCTGTGTGTGACG